TTCACTCAATGAAAAACGAACTATTAAAACTTTGCGAAAAAAAAAAAAAAATTGAATGGAACGCTCCAAGCTTCCACTTCCATCACACTGATTTCGTTTCTTTCAAAGTCGCTTTTACATGATTTAAAAAAAAAAAAAAGGGACGAGTAAAGATACCTTTCTCTGTCGGAAATTTTGCAAATTCAAGCTGGTCTTTACGGGCAGTGAAAAAATGTTTTCTCATAATTAAATCTACCGTGATATCGAAGATCGAAGTCACCCCTTAAAGTCTGCTGCACAATTCTTTTCCCCCCCTACAAAGTTATGAATGTTTAAAGTATCGACGAGTATTCACGTGTACGGATGCTTCCCAGGGTCGTTGCAAGTCGTCTTCTATTCAAAAATAAATAAAGGGACCAAAAAAAAAAAAAAAGGGACATCCTGCGCGCAAATGCCCGGTGAAAGTCGAGCTTTCCAGAAAGCGTACCTTGTTATCGTCCATTACGCTGTTCATGTTCTCGATCCAGTCAACGTCCACTGGCCCGTCAAAGAGGATCCACTTCGTGTCAGGGCTATCGTCTGTCAAAAAGTAACGAGAATCTGTCGACTTTGTCCAGTTCACCGCGACGAAGAGTCCCGGCCCGAGAACTTTATATATAGAGTTTGGCCGGGAAATATAGAGGATACACACGGTGTCCTTACCGGAACAGGTTTTTCGCATGATCGACGATATCACGCCGTCGTGCCATTCGCCAGTGGCAAGATTGTACTCGCCGTAAAGTTCGGCGAGGCTCAACGCCTTCGGATTAATAGGGTAGACGTGAACCGCGGCGTATCCCGGTTTCTTGTCGTTCTTCATGCTCGTCATCGTCTGCTGCAACACCCTCCACGTAACCGTCTTCGCTGTGTTCGACTCGCCCACTATCATCGTCGAGTGCCTCGAATTCATCGTCTCGTACAGTTCGATAACTTTCGTCAGTATCAGGGGAATAGGCTGTAAACAATGTTAGCTGAGTAAACTGGCGCACTTGCCGGAAGTTCACGCAGTCCCCCCCCCC